GGGAGAGTGCCTCCCAGCGCTCGTCGTCCAGCTCCTCCACGTGCTTGCTGCCGATCGCCATGGTCTGGGATCCAGCAGCGGTGGCCTCGGCCTCCTCTTTGGCCTTGGCCTGCAGGCGTCTCTTAGTTCTCTTGCTCTGCGGGTTGGGCGCCTTGCCCTTCCGCGGTGGGTGCGGGAACGCCTTCGGCAGGTTGAGCGTCCTACACTGCGTCGCAAGTCCCTGTCCACGGATTGTGAACTTCAGTCCGATGTGTGGCTTCCATGGTACGTCGTAGACGCCTTCGACTCCTGCGATCAGCTTGCTGCCTGCGTCGTTCGTCATCGCAAAGTCGATGTGGGAGGGCTCCTGCTCCGCGAGGAAGCAGGTGTGCTGGTCCTCAGGCAATGAGATGATGGCGCTCGCGCCCATCGCCTTTGGCCAGCCCGTCGCCCAGAACGTCTTCGGGTCTGTGTTGAAGTCGCCGCACACCACCCACGCCCCTTGCAGCGTCTTGAGGAACGCGGCCAGCGCGGTGAGCTTGCGGCTGTTGATGCCGTCGGTCAGCGACCTGTTGCAGTCCAGGTAGAGGCTGACGACGGTGAGCGTAGTGCCCTTCAGGTGCCAGGTGACTGGTGTCCAGTCGCACATGTCGAAGCCTTCTGCTCGGTCGGCGCCTCGTCGAATGTCAGCTGTGGCATTCGAGACCTGCCGAGCTCTGGCCAAGTGTCTGAAGCTGGTGACGCGCAAGTGCCCCTTGGAGATGACCGCCGTGCCCCCGCAGCTGCCTTTCTCCGAGCGCGTGCTAGCTCTCGCCGCGGTGCAAGTAGCCCTGAACCCCATTTTGCAAAGGTCCTGCTCCGCGTCATCTAACTGTGAGTGCAGTACGTGCATCTCTTGCAGCGCCAGCATGTCGAAGCCGTTGCCTCCGATGCCCTGCTGCAGCAGCCACAGCCGTGCTGTGGGTCCCCAGGTCGAGATGTTGGCGCAGAAGAGGGTGCGCTCGTGGGCGGCGGCGTCGCCAACGTGATGCCGCCGTCGCCCTCGCGCGCGCCCCTTGTGCGTCGTGGGGCTGGTGGCCCCCGTCGCACTCTGCGCCGCCGCCGCGCGCCTGCTGGCCAGGAAAGCCTCCTCGGCGGCGCCCTGAGCGGGGCCTGTGGCATCTGGTGCCGCCGCCGCAGCCGCTGGGGGCGCTGCCTCTGGGGGCCTCGGGCCTGGCGCTGCAGGTTCACCTGTGGCGAGCTTCCTCTTCTTGGCCTCCTGCTTGATCACCTGCCGCTTCTCGATCGCGGCTGCTTTGGCTTTCGCCAGGTGCTCGCGCAGGTGGCCCTGGAACTGCTTGGCATTGTCCTGCATCTGCTTGACGACCTGTGCCTTGGCCTCCTCGACTTGCTTCCTGGCTTCTTCATCTAAGTCGTCGTCGTCCAGCGCGAACTCCTTGCTGATGTCCTCTGCCAGCTGTCCTCCCGTCAGCTCGTCGAGCTGTCCCGACACCAGCTGCTCGATGATGCCCGCCGTGGGAGCCTGCTTTCCCTCCTGGTGGATCGCATCGCACTCCGCTTCGGCCTGCAGGACTGCGCTGGCCTTCTCCTCCAGCAGCTCGCGCGCCTTGCGCGCCTCCTCCTCTGCTTTCTGCTTCGCCGCGAACGCCTGCGAGTACTGCCGCTGCGCTGACTGCAGTGCTCGCGCTGCGGCTGCCATCCTCTCGGCTCTCGGCTTCTGCGGGGCCGTCGTCTTGGCCGGCTGCAGTGCCGATGTAGCCACCTGGATCTGCTTGGTGATCGTCTCGCTGCCCTCGATCTGCAGCTGGCCGAGGGAGGCGGTGATGAGCTGCAGCGCCTGCGCCAGCTGCTCGGGCCCTTTGCCCTTGCCGCTGGCCTTGCCGCCTCCAGCGCTGCCGCTGCTGCCGCCGCCTCCTCTGGTCGCCGCCTCCGCCGCGTGGCCCTTGGGGCTCTTCGGCTTGGGCAGCATCTTGTCGCAGGTCCCGCAGCGGTAGTTCATGCCATCCAACTTCGAGTTCCACCACCACTGTCCGCAGGACTTGCAGACGGTGTAGTCGGCTGAGCGTCCCATTCTGCTGCCCGACGACGGGGGCGTGCTGCCGTGGTGCTGGCTCAGCAGCTGGATCTGCAGCCTCGCCCTGAGGTCGCGGCGCGCCTGGGCACGCTCGCGGCGCTCGCGCCTGTGCCAGGCGGGCGAGCGCTCGCGCGTCGCCGTCCTGGCGGCGCCGCCGCCGCCGCCTCCTCCTCGCTGGACGCGCCGCCTGGCGCTGGGGGCCCCGATGGCGCGGGCCCGCCCGCGTGCGCCCGCCGCGGGGCAAACGGCACGCGCGGGGCCTCGCTGCGGAGCCACCTGGAGGAGGAGGAGGAGGAGGAGGAGGAGGAGGAGGGGAAAGAGGAGGATGAGAAGGAAAAGGAGGAGGTTAGAGCGTCTGGGGGGGCATCTGCTTAGCATTCTACGGCCGCCGATGCCTCCTGCGGGAGGCTTCGACGGCTTGCAGGGCTTCACGACCCAGCTTTGGGCGGCTTTCTGAAAGAAAAGCAGTCGGGGGGGCCTTGCCCTCCTGGTGGTCCAACCGATAAACGTGAGCGCAAACAGAAATAAAGTAAATGCCTCGGGGGGGAATAAGCCTAGAGCCAAAAGGGGGTCCAGGCATGGTGGGGCAAGGAGGTCATAATGATCTCTGATCGAGGGTTCACATCCCCACCAAAGGGATTTGGCCCCAGGATTCCACAGCCCCCCACCCAGATGGGATGGGGGGGATGACGACGACGACGTCGCCGACGCCAACGCCGACGCCGACGACGACGCCGACGCCGACGGAAGACGACGACGACGACGACAACGACGACGACGGAAGGCGCCGATGGAAGACGCTAACGGAAGATGACAACGACGACGACGACGACGATGACGACGAACCACCACACACCCACAGGGGGGGAGCACCGGCACCCTCCACCACGCCATGCCGACAGGGCCACGACCACAGGTGGGGAGGAGCGATCCCATTCGCGAGGTTCAATGGTACACCCATCCAGCAGGGGGCGGCTCGATCCCACATGCATTGAATGTGGGGTGCAACCCTGGATTAGACATGAGCTGTCAGCGAGCAAGCCTGGGCATCGGCGAACTATGGCAGCACGAATGCTTCAAACTATCCCGCCCCCCAGGACATCCAAAGATGCAACCCTTCTAGTGGTTGCACATCCTGGGCTCTGTGATCCCCCCCTTCCCAATGCTTGCTGCTAGCACTTCGCCAGGGCGGAGGGGCGCAATGCGTCGCCCAGATGACGGCCGACTTTTCCAGAGCACCCGCATCGGCCGAGCGAGCCCCAAACCAGCAATTGAGAGGGATGTCCAGGCGACGCTGCACGAGAGGCGGGGAGGGGATGATAGACGAGCGGGGCTCCTTGTGCAGCGCAACCTGCGGGCGGAGCTGAGGCTCGCCTCGGGGCTGCTCACGGCGCTGATTCTCCCCCGGTGCCGCTACGGCAGCCCGCCGCTCCGCGCTGCCCTCGACAACGGCCGCCTGCTCACAGCGTCGCCGCAAGCGCGGGAGTGCGACACCCGGCGGGCCACGGCTCCCCGCGGAGGATGCGGGAGCGTGCGACGCACCGCTTCGCCGTCGCCCGCAGAATCCCTACGCAGGCACTCCACCCAGGGAGCATGGCGATCTCCAAAAACGAACCAGGCAGGCCTGATGCCATTTCGAGACCGCCCGAACGGGCGGGCCGCCGACGGCGACAAGCTCAAGCCACACCCTTGTCGCCCAGGAAGGAGCTTGGCAACCGAATCAGCTTGGCCATCAGCCCTCGCTTCAGCGGGGTCGCTCGCGCAGGCTGCAAGCACGCAAGCGTCGCTCGGCATGAATCAGCGCCGAAGACAAGGTGTCCGACTTCGTGCGGGACACATCCGCGATTCGTTCGCGCCACTTCTGGGCTGGGCGCGCGCCATTGGGCAGCTTCGTCTGCCCCAGGGCCAAGCCAGACGCCCAAGGGCCTCAAGGTGCCGCCGATGCGGAACGACGTCCGTCTGCCTTCGTCTTCACAAAGAGGGACCGTGCAAGCGCAGCCCAGATCCTCCGAGAAGGGCTCGACGACGAGAACGGCGAAACACCTGCTGGCCTTGCCTGGCAGAGAATCGCCAGAAAGCGCGTAATCTTGAAGATCCGGGCCGTGGCCCGCAGCCAAGCTCGCCCACGGAGGCTCGCACCGACATCGTCGGTACACCAGCGGGTGCGGCCGCGGTCGTTGAAGCGTCCACGTGCCTCGCCCCTCGCCGCCCTTGCATCCGTCGTCGCCGGGCCGCGCGGCCATTCCCGCGGCGGCGGCGAGCCGCCCGCGCCTCGCCCGGGCCCCCCCCGCACGGGGGGCCGTCGAAGTCGACAGCCGCCGGGTAGAGGCACTCTGGGTAGCCTCCGCATGCTGCGGCCGAAAGCGCGCCCTGCCAGGACGAATGGCGTGCCACGGGTGGGGTCGCCTTGCAGGATCCCCGAGCGCACGTCGAAGAGCAGGAGCCGACTGCTAGACGCAGCGAAGCTCTGCACCCCGACCTAATTCGTCTGGATGGCGGACCGCATGCCACACGGCGCCTCCATCTTCTCCAGCGAAAGGTTGACCCAGATGTGGGCAGTTCTGGAGAAAGGCCTGGGCGAAATCGAAAGCCAGGAGCATGGGGGAACCAGCCCTCCTGATAGGATTCCTCGTCCATGGTGCCATCACTGAACCCAAGAGGCTCACAAGCTTGAAGATCTCGCATGGATGTCCAGCTCGGTGACGTTGGAGCAGAAGTTGCGGCCTCTGAGGCAGAGACGCTGCGACTCCACGCGCTTCTCCTCAGCCGCCCACTTCATGCAGAGGTTGACAGGTCACATTACCCCCTTCTTAGTGGTGCTCTTGAAAGAGGAGGAGGAGAAGGAGGAGGAGGAGGAGGAGGAGGAGGAGGAGGAGGAGGAGGAGGTGGAGCAGGAGGAAGACGACGGCATGGACGGGTCTCGTCGACTGGTCCCTCCCCAGGCCACACTCCCGTCGTTCTCGAAGGAGGGGACGCCGTTGAGCTGCATCCGGTGGAGGCGTAATCTCGCAGCCAGCGGGGTGAAGCCCTCCGCTCCCAGCCTCCAGTGGAATGGACGAGTGGTTAGTGCGATAGTGGTTACTGCTGCCTGCCTGGGCAATTACGAGCTACCCGAACGGGCCTAACCACTATTTCGTAGCCGGCAAGGTTGTTGACCGATTACGCAGGCGGTCCACGAAGGATCCCTGCCCCGCTAATCAGCCTTTGCATTACGAAACGATGGTTGGGGTATTCGGGCTCAAGTACTTATATTTCAAACTGTTGTTGCATTCTGGCTCAGCGGCTCACGCCCCAGCCACCATTCTAGAAACTCAAACTCTGCCTTGTGCTCTCAAGGGACACCAACTTCAGATCTCAGGCGACTAGGCAAAATCGCGCTGGAGATGCTTCACAATGTTCGGCGTCCAGAAGAAACCGTCTCCAGGCCCTGGGACCGTTAACGAAAACGACTCCTAATGAAGAGGTGGTCCGGGGGAAGGGTGGAGAGCTCCACGGGACGGCCCCCGCATCCTGGCAGAGCAATGCTCCCCCCGCCGGGCCTTTGGATCAAAGTCAGACGTGTTGCTCTTGTGCGCGCGCCGCTCTATCTCTTAGCAACACGAGGCATGGGGGGCGCTGTCGGGGCTCTGGTCCTGGACTTCGTGCGATGTTCGACCGGAGAGGTAAGTCGAGACCTACCTCGAAGATATACGAGGGGGGGCAGTTATCATGGATAGGGGTAGGCCCGAATGGCCCCCTGGGGGTATCCTCGAGCTAGTTATTTGCATCCTCTAAACAATAAGATCTGCTGGTGCGAATTCGGGAGATGGGGGCAAGAAATCGTCTGTGATTTTGTTTTTTTGTGTGTATGTTGTTTTTTTGTTCTCTCTCTCTCTCTCTTTCTCTCACTCTCTCTCTCTCTCTCTCGCTCTTTCTCTCTCTCTCTCTCTCTCTCGCTATTTCTCTCTCTCATCCCAACTTGCCAAATCGCAAAGGTACAGTGCTGCACAAATAGAAAAACACACACCATCCGCAAGATATCGCCTTCTCAACCGTACAATCTCGTGAGGATGGTCAAAAAACCTCCCCTGGCCGAAGGTCGAAACCCGTGCAGAGTTCGCAAGAAACCCATACTCTTGCCAGGGAGACCAAGTTGCGCCCTGGACCGTATACAGCATGCTGCCGTCGCCTTCGTGCAGCCGGTAAATGCCTTCGCCGACAACGCAGTGCATGCTTGAGCCGTCGGTCGGTCGGAGTCGTAGGCTGCGGGCAGCCGCTGCACGTGCGCGAAGGCATGCAGATCGGCGAGTCTGCGTGGTTGCTGGGAAAAGCGGAATCACATATAGTGACATAGATTCTTCCCCGAAGGACAGCAGAGGCGAGGAAGGCAAGGAGAGGAGGTAGACAATAGAGGTAATAAGAAGCGTGAAAACCAAAGAGAAAGACACACACCCCGATAGGACAAACACTCAAACCATCCCACGTTGGCACCAGATACTCTAAGCAGTGGCAGCGCGCGTGTATTACAAGCGAAAACGCTGGCAACCTCTGCTACCCTGGTCCCCATCCTGCTGGCACTGGTAGAAATACGTAATGTATCTCCTCTGTGATGGGCATATTGCGGACTTGTCCTTCACATCCAAACGCTCACACACCTCGATTGCGAGTCGCAAGGAAAGGTGTAGAGACGTGACTGGACAAGCGTACCAGGTTACAATCACAGGAACACGCATGTTATATGTTCTGCTCCATCTTGAATTTAGCAAAGCACCCGTGTCGTGATTCACGAGCAACATGGCATATTCAAGATGTGCTTCACATGAGCTATCCGAATATCTCTCGAGCAGTCCAGAAGATACGAATCTCGAGTCGGCAAATGTCGCTGGCTGGTGTCTTCACATGACGAAGGGATCGACCAGCGCACTCATGAGCGCATACAACAAGCATCACGGGAAGCACCGCAGCACGTGCCAGCAATTCAAACTTGACGGCCCTGGGGCGAAGGAGTACGAGAGGAGAGTAAAGGAGGAACGGACGTTGCAATTAGGGACCGTGTGATACGCTTTGGAAAATGATGGATCGATTGCGATTGCCCATCACATGATGGAGAAAGTGTGATACGTCAAGGCACCTCGGAGAGCTCGCTGGGTGGAGCTGCGGGAATTGAAGAAGGAATGCCACACAACGATACGTAGTGCCCATGGATGCTCGCCACGAGAGACCACGTACAACAGACAATGTCCACTTGGTCGCGGTCGTCAGGATCAGTGCATGTGATCCACCGCCACTGGATACGCACCGACGTGAAAGCCAAATCATTTTGCATCGAGGAAGCCCCGCCCGAGAATGCGGGGCGGGACCCCCAAGGAGCACAAGCACCCTTGGGACCTGGCGGCCGCGGCATGTCGTCGCCCTTCGTCGAGGAAACGAAGCGACATCCCCAGGGAGCACTGCCACACTCTGGGCCTTGCGCGGCCGCGTGATGGGCTCTATTCTGTAAACCTGACTGATGGGCCTGTTTTCCACCACCACCATAAATTGGAGGGGGAGGGGGTCCCCCATCCTCCTCCTCCTCCTCCTCCTCCTCCTCTTCGTCCTCCTCCTCCTCCTCCTCCTCGTCCTCCTCCCCCCCCCTAACTTATGGTAATGGTGGTGGAGAACAGGCCCATCACTGACCGCTCTTCGGGAGGCGGGTCGGGAGCTCTTTTCTTTAGACCTGACTGCTCCCAGCTGTCGGCGGGCAGTCCCTGCTCGGTGTGCGCGTCTGGGTTCCGAACGCGCGGCAAAAGCCGGAAGGGTACCCCACGCACGAAGCCACGGCGGCCCCACGCAGCAGCTTACGCAAGCCCCGGGCGCCTTACAACCGTGTGTAAACGCGAACGCATGCGAGCGACCTTACCCCAAGCAGCTTGTGCGCGAATATACGTGAATCGACCCTGCTGTTTTGAGTAGGCCAAATGAGCCACGAACCCTGTGGAGCACCGACACGCGAATCGGGGCAGACGAAAGTGGCGAAGGAAAGGAAGGAGGATTGTAGCGAGTCAACCGCATGCAGCAATTTTCACAACCGCTCCTCCTCCTCCTCTTTCTCCTCCTCCTCCTCTACGTCCCCCTCCTCCTCATCCTCCTCCACCTTCCTCTTCCTCCTCCACCTCGCTCTTCCTTCTCCTCTCATCTTCCTTTCCCTCCTCACTACTCCTGCTCGTCCCCCTCCTTCTCCTCCCCCCTCCTTCTCCTCCTCTTGTCATGACCACGTCAGGCGTCCAATCCTGACAGACGATTCCAGCGTCTCCAATCCCTCCATCCTCGATCTTGTTGCCACTCGTGCCCGCTCCCCCATCTCGATCCTGGAATGTGCTCCCAGATAGCATGCCACGCTTCGATCATCATCGGCAAATGTATTTCAAAGGTGTGCCAAACACAGACTGAAAACGGCAAACAAAGAGCCGTGCCTCGTGAAGAGCATCGACAGGGTGATGGGACAATCCACGGAATGCCAAGAAGCAACTCATGAACACGATGGAGCGCGAAAACCCTTCAAAGCAATGAACCACCAGAATATTGCCAGGATCAGAGGCCAGCCAATTATGCGCAGACAAGCAGAGCTCCATAAAGAGGTCCATCGGCGGTGCTGGAAGCCCACGGAAGGCGACATCGATAACCTCTCCGGAGAACTTTCCAACAGCGTACTTCTTTTCAGACATGTTCAGTATGAGCATCCGATGCGCAAAATCTTTGTTCAGACGAGTTGAAAGTCTGTCGATCTTGTCATCCGAAGGAAACTCCGTCACTCTGAGCTCTGGGCGCACCGAGTAAATCTGACAGTCCAGATCCACAAAGGTTCGCTGATACTCTGCCTTCGCCGTCTCGGCTGCTTTGCTGGCTGCATCGGCCACGTCCTGTGCCGCCGCCTTTGCTTTCTCCATGATGTCAGTCGCGGCAAGAGCTTCTGTCGCGCTCTGGGTTGCGTCTTGCAACCATTTGCCGAATCCCCTCATCTTCCTGGCCAAAGCAGCAGCGGCGCGCGGGGCAAAGGAGCCCCTCTAGACAAAACACATGCGCACCCTGACTGCTACATATGGCTGCGTAAAAGTACAGCGTGTAAGTCAAATGAGCACGGAACCAGCCAGCTGATGTGTCGAACACGTGGCAAGACATTATACAAAAGAGAAGGCGCATCACAAACGATCACGTGCATGACCTGATGAGCTTAGCATTGTCTGCTGTACTACCTTGCAGAATTCCCACCTGCACCAACAAGCCTTGTGTGAAACCCTGGTGCCGAGCATCTGGCTGCCGAGCTACTCTCGCTTGCTTTGCGCTTTGCTGCTTGCCAGAATGCGCGTGGGAGACCAGTGTGGAAGTTCACTGGATGCCCCCCTGGTCAACCACAGGAAAAACAGTGTGAACAAAAAACATATATTTGCATTTTTTAGAGAGGGGCTCCGCCCCCGGAGCCGGGGAGGCGGGGGAGCTTGGGTTTGTGTTGGGGGGGTGTCCGGGATCTCACACTCACAAACAGCACGACTGGAAAAACAAACAAACGAGAAACAAACGTAACAAACAACATAACAAAGGGTGACCTTTTTTCGGAGGTTCCCCCGGATCCCGAAAGAAACCTCCTTCAATCGAACCTCCAAAAACCACCCTCAGGCAAGTTTTGAAAGGTTCCAGAGGGTGTCCCCGCCCAGGGGGGGGTCCTCCTCCAGGCCTCCCCAACATCCTCTCGCAGGGAGGTGTTGAAGGCGGTTGAGAAAATGGTTTCCCCAAGACCCCCCCAAAGAAACCACCCTCGGAAAGATGTTGCGTGGTTCCTGTGGCACCATTGAAAAAAAGTCCCACCCCCCTGGACCGGAGCGATTTCCCCATCGACCCTCTGGGCGCCTCGGGGACGCTCGGGAGCCCCTGGGAGCCTCTGAACGCCCCCCCTCTGTGAGCCTCTGAACGCCTCGGGGTCGCTCGGGGAGGGGCTTCGTCTAGCAGCGGGCGGCGCACGGCAGAGGGGCACGTCTAGTACCAAGGATGCTTTTCGTTAAATCAGCTTGGGGAAGGGCCTAGTCTGGCATTGGGTGGTGTGCAGCAGAGGGGCACGTCTAGTACCAAGGATGCTTTCTTAAGCCAGTTTGGGGAGGGGCCTCGTCTAGCAGCGGGTGGTGAACGGCACAGGGGCACGTCTAGTACCAAGGATGCTTGTTTACTCAGCTTGGGGAGGTGCCTCGTCGAGCAGCTGATGATACACAGCAGATGGGCACGTCTAGTACCAAGAATGCTTCCTGAATCAACTTGGGGAGGGGCCTCGTCTAGCAGTGGGTGGTGGATGGCACAGGGGCACGCCTAGCACCAAGCGGTTCACAGCAGAGGGGCACGTCTATCACCAAAGATGTGTTTTGTAAATCAATTCGGGGAGGGGCCTCGTCTAGCAGCGAGCGTGGCACAGCAGACGGGCACGTCTAGTACCAAGGATGTTTTTTTGATCAGCTGGGGTGGGGCCTCGTCTAGCAGCGGGCGGCGCACGGCATAGGGGCACGTCTCGTACCAGGGAGATATTTGAATCAGTTTGCGGAGGGGCCTTGTCGAAAAGCGGGTGATGCACAACAGATGGGCACCTCTAATACCAAGGATGCTTCCTTAATCCACTTGGGGGAAGGCCTAGTCTAGCAGCAGGCGGCGCACAGAATACGGGCACGTCTAGTACTAAGGACGCTGTTGCGATCAAAATGGGGAGTCGCCTCGTCTAGCAACGGGTGGCGGGCACAAGAGGAGCAAGTCGACCGAGGATGTTTCAATATTCAGCCTGGGGAGGGGCCTCATCTGGCAGGGGGCGGCGCACGGCACAGCGGCACGTCTAGTACCGAGGATGTTTCCTCAATCAGCTTTGGGAAGGGCATCGTCTAGAAGAGGATGGCGCACAGCGCAAGGGCACGTCTAGTACCAAGGATGTTTCATATTCAGCTTGGGCAAGGGCCTCGTCGAGCAGCGGGTGATGCACAGCAAAGGGGTACGTCTAGTATGAAGCATGCTTCCTTAATCAGCTTGGGGAGGGGCCTCGTCTAGCAATGGGTAGTGTGAAGAAGAGCGGCGCATCTAGTACCAACGATGGTTCTTAGTTTGCTTGGGATGGGCCTCGTCGAGCAACGGGTGGTGTACAGCAGAGGATCCGCAGGCCCTTGTGGACCTCCCAGGGCTTCCGAGGGCCTTCGGATGCCTCCACAGGCCTCTAGTCATTTCCGCCAGCCTCCGGAGGCGAGAACTTCCGAAGCCTCCAGGAGCCTCCGAAAAAGCTTCTTGGAAGGATCCTGGGGGAGGCCGCGGGCATCCGAGGAACTGCCGAAACAAACACAACATAATGCACAATGTTTGCATGGTCCTGGGACCATCCGGAAATGGTGTGGGAAACACTTGGGGCGGCCGGAGAACCTTTGAATCCGGATTAAAGAATCCTTGATGACAAATCCTTGGAGCTGAGTCGATAAAAACACGTTTTGAATAACGAATCCGACAGGGACCTCGCCAAATAATCCTTCCTGAGAAATCCTCCGTAAAGAATCCTGACTTAGGATTCCGCAGTGAGCAACCGTTAGTCATTGCCCCCTTTTAGATACAAAATTATCGGCCAGGACTCCCTACGAAGGAATCATTTTGTAAGGAACCACGAATCTGTAATACTCATAAGGAAATCCTGAAGGAGGACTTCTTTTCGTGAGACATCCGTACTCGGGCACGTGGTACAAATTCCTAGATAAGGAATCCTTATAACGGAATTCTTGGTCACAAATCCATGATGAACAATCCTGGACCGAAATCCTCACCGAGGAATCCGTAAAGGAAAATCTTGAATACGGATGCCTTACTAAACACTTCTGAATAAAAAATCCTTGGTAAGGAATCCGGAGTAAGGAATCTTGCGTAAAAAAGATAAGCACGAAAAGGCTCCTCAATAAATAATCCTTCATGACATGAATCCTCCGTGGGGGAGCCTGAATACCGAAACCTGGAAAATAACCACTCGTAAAGAAATCATAGTACGGACATTCTTTATTTTGGAATGAATAATCACATACCCGTATGAAGAAATCCGTGAAAAAAGGGTTCCTGCGATACGAGAAACCATTCGTGTGGAATCCTGGATAAAAAACCATGGGCAAGGAATATGCACTAAGGAATCCTTTGTAATGAACCCCGAGTCAGGAATCCGTCGTAAGGAATCCTTGGCGAGGAGCCCGTACTAACGAACCTTCAATCATAACTCATGAGTGTGGAACCCTTAAGGCGGAATCTTCAGAAATGAACCCTAAAAATAATGACCACTTCGAATAAGGCAAACTGTTTGCCAGAAGTTCTGAATGAAGGAACCTTTTTGCAAAGCCTCCGTCGTCAGTAATATTTGGTAAGGAACACGCGCAGGGGACCCATTGGTGCGGAATCCTCAATAATGATTTACATAAAAAAAGGGCTCCTGCTTGAGAAATCCTTCGTCAAAAACCGTGAATAAAAATCCGGAATGAGGAATCTGTTTAAAGAAATCATGAGAAACGGGACCTCAACAATAATTCCGTAGTAATGAATCCGGATTAAGGAATCCGCAGGAAACGGTTATTTATTAATAAAGGGCTCCGTCAAACACAACTCTTACGAAGGAGTCCTGATTGGGCAGCCCTTTGGAAATAATCCTTGCGATAGTATCCTCAGAAAGGAACCCTTCATCTCTGGATAAAAAACCCTTAGACACGAGTCTATACTCAAGAATCCGCATGTAAGTTTTTAGCATGCCCCCGTAATGTTTAAATAGTCATTACTGCGGGCTCCTTCATGCGATATCCGTTATGAAGTAACTCGCTAAGGAGTCCTGGGTTAAAATATTCTCAGTTAGGGCGCCAGGGAAAAATGCGCCATTCGTAAGGATCCTTCGTAAAGAACTCATGATACGGATTTCTTGAAATAAGAAATCCTCAAAATACAGAATCTGCACCAAGGCATCCGCAACGAGGATCTCGAGTAACAAGTTCATTCTAACCACTTTTAACTGAGGAAAGCGTAATGGGGAATCCTGCTTAAGGAACCGTGCGTGAGAGATCAGCACTAGAGGCTTCTCAATTCCAATTAAGTAATACAAAAATCCTTCGTACAGAAACCGGAGAAATAAGGAACCCGTGGCACGAATTCCTACTTAAAGAACCATTCGTGAGGAATCCTGAATGAGAAACCCTGGGTAAGGCTTCATTACTACGAGTCCTTAGTAAGCAGTTCTGAATAAGCAGTCCGTCGTTAGGAATCCTTGGTTAGGAACCCGTGCCAAGGAATCTTCAATCAGAAATCGTGAATAAGGAATCCTTAAGGTGAAACCTTCAGATTGCTGGGCGAGGAATCCTTCGTCAGCAGTAGGTGTTGCGGCATGCCATCGATGCCCTGGCCAAGGCGAGCGCGCGGGCACACCGTAAACGAACGACTGTGTTGTGCCCCGAACGCGGCTGTTGATTTCGTAACTCCTGCCATGTCTGACTATCGTTTCTGGAGTGTCTGGTCGACCATGCCACGCTGGAAAGGAAGCTCGTGCCAGCAGCGGATACAGTAGCCCTGACGGTGAAGAGGCGGACTCGGTGGAGCGAGGAAGGAGGAGGAGAACAATATTAACCGAGGACGCGGGAGATGATGATGATGATGATGATGATGATGATGATGATGATGATGATGATGATGATAATGATGATGATGATGATGATGATGATGATGATGATGATGATGAGGAGGAGAATTGGGGATGATGAGGAGGGCGACGACGAGAACGAGAAGGACGAGGAGGAAGCAGAGGAGCAAATATGGACTATTGGTTTGGCTCGTGTTTGACACGGTGCGGGCAGGGGTCCCGAGATCCAAGGTCGGGTGCGGCGGTATGCCTGCGGCGCTTTCGGAGCACGGGCGCTGGCACAACATAAACCAATGCTTTTGTTGTACCCCGAACGCCGCCCCTTGTCTCAAACTCCTGCTACGCGCCACACCT